AGATTCATCCCTGGTTTGGCTTCACTGACTGCAATGAAGTTACACCAGAAAAGAAATGGTCCATCATTAGTGTTATTAAAAGCTTCAACATTGTGCTTGGCACTACAGAAGAAGCAAAGGAACACACATATAAAGAATAACAGCCTGAACAGAAAGACAGAAATCAGACACAAGAATAGGAATCCTGAAGGATGGTACTGAGTAGTCCCCATTTTTGCTTCACTAATAAGCTTTTGGCAGCATTTTTATTGACATTAGTTAATGACTGTGGGTTATGCAGAAGAAATGACTTACCAAAAAGGTGTATAAAATGGTCTCTGACATTCTGGGATAGGGAAGATGTTGATGCTAAAGGAGTACATGGAATAAGGCATAAAAATTAGAGTAAGGCAATGGGGTAGAGGGGAATTGGTAGAGTGAACACATGAGAGGGGAACTAAGATGTACATCAGCTAAAGTTACGAAGCGTTGCAAATGCAAGGATGATAATACTGAAGAGATGCAGAAAGAGAGGGAAGCTAGTGGAGCAACCAAAAAAAAGGGAAAGATACAGTCCAAACAGCAGGCAAGAATGACTGTGTTAGCTTTTGGACTTGGAAGTCAGCAAGAAAAAGGCTGAAGTAGTTAGTTGTCCCACTGGGTAGAATGTAACAGTCCAGTTTTACAAGTTAACAAATTAAAGTAATGTCTGGTCTTGTGAGGAGCAGAAGGTAACTACACTCCAAAAGTAGTATATAAAAAAAATTCAATACCTAAAAAGTGGTTTAAAATATAAAATCCTTTCAAACAAAACATCTTAAAAACTGATATCGCTACAAAAGCATATGTCTTATTTTTACATCTAAAATTGACAATACAAATATAGGGCCCGATACTGCAAATACATACTACAATAATATTTACTAGATGGGGCGGCTCATAATAGGAATCAAAATGCTTGGGCATAAGCATTATATGCCAGGGTCCAAATTAAGGAATACTGACAACAGCTCCCCTGGAGATTGTTCCTGATGTATACTTGGAATGTATTTGATATACCAACCAAATGTTTTCAGTCATCATTATTTCTAGCTTCATTTGTGTGTTCATATAGTACAAAGTGCTGCTTATAGAACCAAGCCAATGACAAAAGTTTACCTACTGAAAATTAGTTAGAAAAAAGCATTAATAAAGAAATTATTTTTAACTGCAAAATATCAGTAACAAAAGATGACAAGAGATATTTTCACAGGCTGGAATTGATTGCGATTCTACTTACACATGAAACCTATCCACAGTCAATTCCATCTACAGGCTGACTGCAAATACTGTTACATGCTTTGCAAATTTAGGGTCAAATCCTGCATTGGGTGAGCATCCTGTTTCAACTGGGGAACCAGGCTGAGGCTGCTCAAATCACTGCAAGATTGGGCCCTACATTCCCATTGAGTTAGTTACAACAGATATAAGAGCAAAAACAAAGTATAACTCATTTACTAAATTTCTTGTGCATTTTCTGCAGTACCACAACATATTTTCAACCCCTTTCATTTCTAGGGGAAATTTTCAGGTGTGTAGCTTTACACTAGTTCATGATCATTCACAACTGATGCATCTGCATGAAGCTTTTCATAAACGTTGCAAGCTTCTGAACATCTTCTACTGTCACAGCATTATATAAAGAAGCACGGATTCCACCCACAGACCTGAATTGAAAAGAAAGCGCTTGTTAATTTTTGATGCATCGGTAAAGGTTTGTTTATCATACACTGCACACAGCTATTTCCTCCTCTTCACACAGCTATAGTTCACATTTATACCAACAGGAAGCAATATTCTACTCCTTGATGTAAGCATGCAGGCTCCCCTTGATGTCAAAAAGGATCTACCTATTTTAGGTACTTGCATGGCACCCATTATTGTAATATCTTCTTCACAGTCTTTGAGGTAATGAATCTCAAAATCCCCTGGTAAAGTAGGAAAAGACTCCCAGTTTTAGAGATGGGGAGCTGACACTGAGCACATCTACACAAGATATTTACAGCAGTTGCCTAATTACCTCTGCAGTAAAGTCTCAGCATCTATGCATGCGGCCATATTAGGCCACAGTAAATTAATAAATGCTGCCGTAAGTTAGTACTTGTTAACACAAGTACTATTCTATGGTGGTATTATTTAGTGCACTGCAACGCATATGTAGATGCTGACAGGGCTAGCTGGGGCATGAGGATGCTTCAGTGTGGGGACTGCCTACCAGCTAGCCCCAGACTGGAGCACCATAATGCTCCAGCTAGCCCCTCCACAGCATAATAAGATGTGTCAGAGCAGCCCTGGGCTAACAAGCTGACCCCCACTGCCCCGTGCCAGCTGGTGCTGCTCTGATCCAGCTCAACGTGCTGCAGTCCTGAACACGCATGGAAACGCAGTGCCTGGGAGCAGTAAATTCAGGCATGATGTACACTAGAATTTATTGTGTCACATTAACTGCACATGTAAATGTGCCCTCTGAATTACAGTAAGCAATCTACCCAAAGTCATACAGACTGTGGTGTTTCAGGGAACTGAACCCCAGTCTTCTATATGGAAAGCTTGTACCCTACCCCGGAAAATCCTTGAGTACCCATATCCTGTATAGCAGCAAATTGTGCCCTCAAGAGCTAATGCCTATGTCCACAACACAGTCCAAGTACCACACTGAGAAGAATTGTTCAGGACTTGGCTGGAGATAGGAATAGCAAGAAAATCCTCCCTACTCGCACAAAGTCAAGGGCAGCAGTGATGCTTCTGTCTCCTATTACAGCCTCAAGGCTGCCAGTCGAAATCCTCCCAGTTTGAAATACTGGTGGTACAACACTGGAGAACTGTTGGATCCACACGGCCATTTTATGACTGCATGGATTCTACACAAGTGACTACACAAGTTACAAACGAATCTATTATGCTTGTACTTACCGATGTCCTTTCAAAGATATCATGTTAAGTTCAATAGCTTTATCAAGGAATTTCTTTTCCAGTGCGTCATCACCCTTAACATTGCCAATGCGAAAGGGAACATTCATTCTGCTTCGGTTCCTTTTCTCCACTGGGCAACTGAAAAATTTGAAAAATGTATCTCCTTAATCTATTTCCCCCCATATGCAATTTAGAACCAGTTGCAAGATCAGACCACAAAGTTCCTAACGACCAAAATGTATAGTAATCCTTTGTTATAGTGGACACTTTATTTTGGGGGGGGGGGGGGGGTT